CAGTCAATGACATCACCATAACAGTCCAATTGCACATCACCATCACAGTCACTGAGCATCACCATCACAGTCAATGATCATCACCATCTCAGTCAATGACATCATCATATCTTGTCATGACATTCACCATCTCAGTCCAATGAGCATCACCATTTCACAGTCAATGACGATCATTCATCTCCAGTCAATGTACTCGACCATCCACAGTCGAACGTAACATTCACGTCATCAAGTCAGCTGACATCACCATCAGCAGTCAAATTGACATCATCATCTCAGTCAATGACATCGTACCATCTCAGTCCAATCGACATTCATCAATATCTGTCACAATGACCATCATCATTCGTCAGGCAGATGATCATCATCATCTCAGTCAATGACATCATCATCTCAGGCAATGACATCATCATCTCAGTCAATGACATCATCATCTCAGGCAATGACATCATCATCTCAGTCAATGACATCATTCATTCTCAGGCAATGACATTCATCATCTGCATCAATGACATCACCGATCAGCAGTCCAATGACATCATTACTCTCAGTGCAATGACATCATCGATCTTCTGTCAATGAAATCCATCATCTCAGTCGAATGACAGTATCCATCTCTGCTCAATGACACTTCCATCATCTCTGTTCAATTGACGATCACCATCACAGTCAATGACATCATCATCTCTGTCAATGACATCACCATCACAGTCAATGACATCATCATCTCAGTCAATGACATCACCATCTCAGTCAATGACATCATCATATCTGTCAATGACATCACCATCACAGTCAATGACATCATCATCACAGTCACTACCTCTTACAGCCCCACAGTCACCACTTACTGTGTCCGGCAGACTTCCAATGCGTATCGGTTGCGGTGTTACTGGGTGGCGTTGGAATTACGTGGCTGTTAAATAGGGGGTAGTGCTGTTCACTAGTAGAGTTATGTGGCTTTGGACTTCCTGGTTACTTGGAATTAGCACGTAGTACACAAAACGGAGTATTCAGACACATGCAAACCATTTCGACATCTACTCACCCTGTCTTTATCACGCACACTACCCCACGAACAGGGCGAGTGACGATTCCACTGAAGTACAATCATTTCATACACTAAGAGCCATCCGTGGCTAGCCAACGAGTTAAGTCGGCAATGGCGCATTTTTTTTTTAGAAAACGTTCGAGAAAGAGAATTAAAAACGCGTTGACGTCCTTCCCACTAAAAATCTCCATTAGCCCTGATTTTGATGATATTAGCCAATCGCGATCACGCTGTGGCATGTCTGGCCAATCGCGATAGTGCTTTGACGACACCAGCCAATCGTGATCAAGCTTTGACATTACTACCCAATCTTGTGATCATGCTTGGGCGATACTAGCCAATCATGGCTGAGCTTTGGCGATAACAGCCAATCATGGCTGAGCACTTCTGTTATCAGTCAATCATGGCCGAGCTTTGGCAATAACAGCCAATCGTGGCCGAACTTTGGCGATACCAGCCAATCATGACTGAGCTTTGGCGATAACAGCCAATCATGGCTGAGCATTGCCGACACTAGCCAATCATGGCCGTGCATTGCCGATACCAACCAATCATGGCTGAGCTTTGGCGATACCAGCCAAACGTGGCTGAGCACTTCTGATACCAGCCAATCATGGCCGAGCATTGCCGACACTAGCCAATCATGGCCGAGCATTGCCGACACTAGCCAATCATGGCCGAGCATTGCCGACACTAGCCAATCGTGACCGAGCATTGCCGATATCAGCCAATCATGGCCGAGCATTGCCGACACAGACACCAATCACGACCGTACGTCAGCCCGACGATCGCAGCCAATAGGAAGGCAACCTACCCGTTTCCTCGGCTGAAACATGGCGTCCACGACGATGTGGTGGCAGCGTGCGTCATCAGCGTCCTTGCGCGAGAAGTGAGCGTCGAGTTCGTGCATGTCTAGCGCCGGGTTGCTGTCCTCGTGATGCATGTTGCCGTTACCGCTGCAAACAGTGCCAAGAAAAACGCGCCTTAGCCCGCGACTCACGACGCAAGGTCACCTTGGTGGGTGATCTTGTAGGTTGCTGTGTCGGCTGCAGCAGCACACGGTCACGTCTTCACACTTGATAACAGATTCCTTCACTGCGCAGTAGTCTCACAGCACTTCAGAGCGTTGGTTGAGCAAAAGAATCAGAGCTAGACGTTACATTGTTTTAGCATAGCGTTATTATAATCATATTCTATCAAGCGAGAACACGGACATCGTCCATATATCGTTAATCGGTCTAGCGAACGAGGTAAGTTAGGTCTTCGACGGGGATTGCTTGTCCATCAGTTTACCCACGCCCCTGCCGTCAGCGTACATACGTGTTGATCCCCTGTAACTGACGAGTAGATACACAACACTCACCCTCAACGATCGGCAGCATCAACGACTGTGGCAGACGACGAGTTAGACACATTCAATAACGACGTTATAGTTAGTACGCGCTAATCGTTAATCTACTAACCGACTCTTCTCGCGGTTTTTTTATTAATATGTTTTTGCCCATCGAGACGTTCATACACTAACGATTGAATGCGATAACTCGATTCGATGCCTGCGCAGTCTAAGAACGACACAGTGGGCGCATTATCGGACAGTGAATCTATATTTAACGTCAGCAAACTCTTCATCGATGATATTCAACGGTAATTGATTTGAACGGAATATTAACACGTACACTAGTGTACGTTAGTTACGCGGTTAGTTGACGCCATGCTGGTGCAGAACTGCGGAGTACAGACGGAGAGACGAGACGGACGAGGTAGGAGGGCGCAGACAGATGAACGCTGGAGGTGAACGGAAGTGAGGAAGAAACCAGAGAAAGGGTGTGCGTCAACGGTTAACGTTGTTCTCTCTCGAGTGCATGGCGATTTTACCGGGACATGACCACTTCGTTACTCGCCGACTCGAATGGAATTATGCTGCATCTACGAAATGTTGCAATCAATTGCTATTATGTTGCAATCAAGCGATATAAATTCTTACTGAAACAATACGAATCAAAGTACTCTGCTGCAAGAAAATGTCAAGGTGTGTCAGAAACGCAGGCTTTGACGGGAAATTCCATTCTAACTAAATATACTCGTGAATTTTTCTACGGGTAACTGCAAGCTTTTGCGAATGGCTACGAAGCAATGCACGGGAAGTTTGAAGCAATTATAACTGAAAATTAATTATAAACAGCTGAGTAAGATTACCAAAAGCTAAAAATGCAAAAGTGATTTTAATGAAAGAACTGAGCAATTAACGAAAACTCAGACAATAGTAACGCTCAGAAAGAAGCAGATATTAGTGTGAGTGATGGAAACAATATCTTTATTCTTGCTGATATAGTGTCAAAACAAGAGAAAACACCAATAACGACGAGTGATAGACTGGGGTGAGTTGCGGGAGCACAACGTATATACTGAGTAATACGAATAAGGCACTATGGCCACTACCAAAACAACATATGCATGCACTGATATCCACACACGGACGCACGCACGCACGCTCGCACGCACGCACAATTTACGTCAGCAAAGCACGCTTACTAAAATTTCTTCATGTATTGGTTAAATGAACAAGTTAGTTACTGAAATAATTTGCACCCAACGTACTCGGACACGGACAGAGGTTCAAGCAATGCCATTAAAAGCGTGAAAACACAGAACACTAGCAATGCTTTCCTCTCAATCAATCCAGGAGGTAGTGAGTGAGTGAGAGAGGGGGAAAGGGAGGGATGGGAAGAGATGGAAGGATAGTGTACTTAAAAAGATGTGTATGTGTGAGAGACTGACACAGTGGAAGAGTAAGAGTGAGTGAGTGAGTGAGTGAGTGAGTGAGTGAGTGAGTGAGTGAGTGAGTGAGTGAGTGAGTGAGTGAGTGAGTGAGTGAGTGAGTGAGTGAGTGAGTAAATGAGTGAGTGAGTGAGTGAGTGAGTGAGTGAGCGAGAGCTAGGGATAGAGTAGGAGGAAGAGAGAGGGGGAGTGAGGGAGGGATGAGGGGAGACGGAGAGAGGGAAAGAGAAGAGAGAGAGAGAGAGTGAGAGAGAGAGGCAGATAGAGGTGGAGAGAGGGAGACGGGGAGAGGGAGAGGGAGGAAGCGAGAGAGGGAGAGAGGGAGAGGGGGGAGCTACCAGCGAACAGAGAGCTGCAAAGAAAAACTGATGCGTGCGTTAGAAACGAGCGAGGTGCTAGCATGGACAGATGGTGAGGCCTCATGGAGAGCAAGACGGGCTATAGGTAGGATGAGCTGAGTATGCACCAAGCTGCAGTTACCAAGAAATCGCTAGGATGCAGTGATCAAAAGACATGCTACGATGCAGTGAGCGGGATAATTGTTATAATGCAGCATATATTTCAATTCGATCGAGATGATTGAATGCTACACAGACCTACATGGGCAATTGCTAAATAGATTTTACCATAGTTGCCAGGCAATCAATCGCTATTTTCACTACTGATCAGCTATGCAATACTAGCGGGCAGTGACACCACAATGTAGGATAACGACTTAAGACACACCATCAAACAATGATGGTGCGACACACAGTTAAACAAACAAGAGCCGCAGAGCGACTGGGCTCATCTGAAGTGTGTTGCTACAGTCATGTACGTAAAATTTCAGTTGTGCGTAGTGACACATTTGTTAGGCGCAGATATGCAGATACGCAGTTGCGTACACATAATTTCAGAAACCTTCTGCATTCTGCATACCTCCCAAACCCCATTGGTTGATACAAATCGCGTGCCTGAAACTCCTGTTTTATGGTGCAATGTGACCCTAACCCTAACCCTATTAAAAAAATTTAATTGAAAAAATTATTTGTTGTTATTAAATTGTTGTAAATAAATTATGTAAATATTTGCGTTAATTGGATAGAAATAGTTAAATCAGGCTTTCCAGCAGTCCTTGACAACATTTTAGGGCTAATTTTAGGGAGAAATTAAGGTTTTTTTAGGGCTATTTTAGAAATTTTTAGGGATAAATCGAAACATTTTAGGGATAAAATAAGTCACTTACCTTTCATAAACATCAACGTGTTAACTTACAGATACAGTTCTATGTGGTATGTGTCCAGTCTACCAGCTATTCCTATCCTCCAAGTCCTCGATACGATGTACATCATCAATTTTCATGCAAATTAAGCATGTCTTGTACATCCAGCCAGGAACAGGGTCGTATAATCAGACACTGAAGCTTAGGAATCACTGGTAGACTGAGAGTCACAATACTTACTCTGTATAAAGATAACTAGAAAACATCCATTAGCAGGGTCTCCAACCCTGTGAACTCTAAATGCGGAATGTTCCCGCGGTGATCAGTAACTAGTGGCGTATTCCGAAATTGATAGACAGGAGGGGCGAAATGTACCTTGGCTGCCGCAGGGAGGCCCGCGTGCCGTAGGCATGCCAGTGCTAGGGGGGTCTGGGGGCAAAAAAATGTGTCCAAGCAAACAATGCGAACAATCAGTGCAAATTTTGTACAGTGCAACTGAAATGAGGAATATAACCTTGCCGCTGCAGAATGCGGAAATTAAGCCTAGAAATCGTAATGATTCCGCAGAATGAGGAATGGTTGGAGACCCTGCATTAGACATAATTACAAACCAAAAGTTCATCATCTCATCACCAAAAACTCCAAACATATCTGTGAATTTTTGTTTTTTTAATTTAGCCCTTCTTTAGGAATTGCATACATTTTTAAAGTTTTTTTTAGGAACTTTAGGGTGAGCTCAAAATTTTAGGAATTTTTAGGAATTTTAGGGCCGCTGGAAAGCCTGTTAAATGGATAAAAATAGAAAAATACAGAAAACAGGTAAATAATAAAAAATCTGATGGGATTCGATCCAAGGACCTTTGAGCCGTAATCCTGTGCTGTACCCGTTTGGGCTATCCATGCTAATTATTGGCTTTCTAGATTATGGATGTGCCATGAATATGAGCACACTGTGACATCATTGAGGCAGTTCAGGAATCCACGTTTAACCCTCCTCTTGAGGGTCAAAATGTTATCAGACACTTACTCTTCATTTCATGATCCTTTCAATAAAGTGAAAAAATGGTAGGTCAGCGCTGAAACAAAAAAGTTTTTCACTCTGTCTGTTAGGCCATGTCCTCAGAAAATGTCTGATATGTAACCTTTCCCCCACTGCCCTTTGACCTGTGACCTCCAATTTCGCACTGGTGATGGGTTTTCTGCCCATCACACTATACACCGAATATTAAGAGCATAGGTCGAGCCGTTTAGATTTGTGCCGCAATTCTGCATTTCCTCCCTATACCTTAAGTTAAGGAGGGAATGTTCCCCCTTCCTTTACTCCTCTTGACCTTTGACCTTTGAACCCCAGCTTCGACATCCCAACTCGTTTT